ACTCATTCTGTTTACGCCAAATTCTGACTCTACCATCTGAATGTCTCAACAGAAATCGAGACTCATCAGACCAGGCAACATTTTTCCAGTCTTCAACTGTCCAATTTTGATGAGCTCTTGCAAATTGTAGCCTCTTTTTCCTATTGTTACAACCCAGCTTGTTAGGGTAGGGCAGTAACAAGGTATTTGGGATAAATTAAGATGGTAAGGACAACTGAATTCAGGTTGAGTCAAAGTTTAATTAAATGAGTTGTCTCCGAAAAAAACACAACAAAAGGAGGTCAGTACCTTCATGCTGTACAGGAATGTAGGGTAACCAAACAAACAATTTTCCCCTTTAAAGGGTGCCACTCACATTCTGTAGTTCACAAAGGTTTTTACTGACAAGAGTCACTTAAGCCGGCAACTGACAGAAACAGGTAAATTTAACACTCAAGACATTCACAGGGGTACACAACCAACTACAAGGCGAACTGATCACTGGCTCACAGTCGCCTCGAACTGCAGGCAGACAAACTATTTGTAGGCCAGCTGGTGTTGATTGGTGAGTTCTGGTTGGCAGGTTCAGTAGGATCCTCGGCCACACCAATCAGACGCCAGCAAACAGGAAGTGGGCGACTCCAGGTCCAGGGGAACCAATCCTCAACAGGTGCTTGCAGCGGGGATTTGCATACAGCTCAGAGAACTCCCAAACACAACTACTCTAAGGCCGCCAGCAGCGGCCGTAACACTATTTGTAGTGGAGATGAGTGGTACCCGGTGGGGTCTTCTGCTGTTGTAGCCCATCCGCCTCAAGGTTGTGCGTGTTGTGGCTTCACAAATGCTTTGCTGCATACCTCGGTTGTAACGAGTGGTTATTTCAGTCAAAGTTGCTCTTCTATCAGCTTGAATCGATCGGCCCTTTCTCCTCTGACCTCTAGCATCAACAAGGCATTTTCGCCCACAGGACTGATACTGGATGTTTTTCCCTTTTCACACCATTCTTTGTAAACCCTAGAAATGGTTGTGCGTGAAAATCCCAGTAACTGAGCAGATTGTGAAATACTCAGACCGGCCCGTCTGGCACCAACAACCATGCCACGCTCAAAATTGCTTAAATCACCTTTCTTTCCCATTCTGACATTCAGTTTGGAGTTCAGGAGATTGTCTTGACCAGGACCACACCCCTAAATGCATTGAAGCAACTGCCATGTGATTGGTTGATTAGATAATTGCATTAATGAGAAATTGAACAGGTGTTCCTAATAATCCTTTAGGTGAGTGTATATTATGAACTGTAATGTAATTTTCATTAATGTAAAATGTTACTCTCAATGTTACACTACATGTAATCAACTTGGCTACTGTTGCTAACAAACCTCTCTTGGCATGCAGGTTTGACTCTTAGCTTAATAAACCAAAAGTCTTTATTTTCAGTTCTCCTTTGTTTATTGCCACATGATCAACATAGGTTCATTGTTACATATAACTGTGTGGTTCTGAAAGTTATTTTACTTTTAAATCTAAGTGGCATGTTTCCCTGATCAAATATATCTGAGCACTGCTGGCAGTAAACAGAACCTGTGATTCTCTGAATGTTTGTTTTATACCAGCAGATGGCGGCAGAGTTAAAACAGGATGACAGAGTGACTCGTCTCGAGTCCCCATTCTTGTAATCCAGTAATCATCAAAGGCCTTTCACTGTTTTGTGCCTCCTTGATCCTCCGTCCTCCTGCCTGTGACCCCTGTGAGTTTTACTGTTTTATCTTTATATGCTGTACTATTACAGGCCTGTGTTTCACTGTGTGGTGCTTAATGCTTTATTATGTTGTAGTTAGGTTTCACAGTTCACATAGGAAAGCAGCTCATTAGAGGGTTTCTTATCTGTTTGGTAGACCTTCATCACAGTTGGTTTCTACTCCCTCCCTCCCTGAGACAGCTGCAGGATAACATCAGAGTATAAAGTCACCTGTTTCATCACTGTCTCTTTGTCTCAATCTCTGCACACTGGTTGCACTCTGAATGTCTGTCTGAGCCTTTGCAAAGAATAAAACCCTTAAATTCTTTGTTTCAGAAGACTCACTAAAGAGAAATTGACACCCTGGAAATCGATCCCACTGCGACATCTTGAAGGACATCTCTATTCTTAAAATTCACCTCGACGATCGAGGAAGCCTGCAGGGGGAGGATTTACTGCTGTATCTTTTACGAAAGTCTTTTCAGCAGCCATGATGTGTAAAAGAGGCGTGACACACTGCTGGAGTAAACAACAGGAGCAGGAGCAGTTTTCTTTTGTATTCAGAAGTTGTATTAGTTATTTGAGATGATCAAAGGCGCCATCAAACTCTTTGTCCTTCACTGTTTGTATGGCGCCTCGTAAGTCTCTGTTCTAACCTAATTCCCTTAATGTCATTTCACTTTTGTTGTTTGTGGCCTTGTGAATGGGCTCATTAACATTAACAATGAATAGCAGCTGGGTGAAACATCTGCCCAGAGAGAAGCTGTGCACGCTGGGGGCGATTGTTGCCATGTTTGCAATGGTGACCCGTTCAATGGTCTAAGTCAGCTATTAGACAAAGATTGTTGCTTAGGCTACACACTGTACCGCAGGGGTTTGAGCGTGAAGGCCTCCCCTCAGACAAAGTTTGGGAAAATGTGCCCCCAGTTTACTTGTTTAGTTTCGCTCAATTCCTGGATGCCTGTGGGATGATGATTTTGGTATTTGATCTCACAGACACTCAACACTTGATTTACACTGTTTTGACATAACTTCAGACCAAATACATTAAAAAGGTCAGTCCTAAGGCATTTATTAGTTTCTGACTTGTCACGTGGGAAAAACAGTTCTATTGTATCTCTATTCTATTCTATGTGATCTCCTTTTGATAACTAACATAATAACTAATGTAATATTGTTTCACTTCCATTCACTGAGCCTCCCCTGAAACTGTTTGGAGGCCCCTGGGGAGCCCCGCCTCACACTTTGAAAACCCCTGCTGTACAGTATTTGTGAACAGCTACATCCTGGAGTTCATTGTCAGTGTCTACAATTAAGAAGTGACCGACACGCCCCTTACTAGGTAGCCATTATATTGATTAGACGCTGCAGCTGGTCGGACTGATCTGATACATCACTGCAGAGCGAAGACAGATAAGACATGAAACTCTAGTGTAGCCTCACTGCCAAGTTTGATAATTGATGGGGATGGGGATCCAAGCAGATCGCGAAAAATGTAATATTGGACCTTTCCAGAGGAGAAGACCAGATTCAGATGACTTTGGACTCAAAGGCAAGAAACACAAACTTTATTATTAACTTTTTTATGCAGTGTGAGGTCTGTGTCATTTTATGTGCCTGAGTAGTGGGAGACATTTGAGCCCGTTCTCATCACAGGGCGTCATTTACCAACGATTTGAGAAAGAGTGACAAAGCGTAGTTATTTGTGGAAGCGCTAGCTAGCTAGCTAGCTACGTTTGTGATAAAGACACGGACATTCATGTTTCCCTCAGGACAAACTGTAATATCACGCTGGCTGATCCTCTGACTTTTCCTCTAGCGTCATCATCAGGTCAACATTTTAATTTGCGCAATACTTTGGTTTATGACCAAATACCTGCAGAACTACTGTTGAGGAGGAATCTAAATCCCGGTGGTCCAATAAATAAAGAGCCTGATTCTAGTTAAAGACTCAGGAAGAGAAGGGATATCTTCCAAATGGTTTATTTCATCTTGCATCAGTGTAGCTAAAGAGTGTGTGGGGCTTGTCTTGGTGTGTGTTTGTCAGAGTGTGTGTGAAAAAACACACACGAGCTAAATTAAGCAAAAAACATCATTCATTTCATTTCCAAGCAGAACATTGTTTGTTTGTGTTCAGAGTTTCCAGCAGAGCCAGAGGTCGTCTGCTCCTCACTGAGGTCGAGCTTCACACCTTCACACCTTCAAACCAGTCCAACCACTGATGTCCAGCTGCTGTTTTACTGCGTGTTTACTAAACATGCAGTCAGACAGCCAGCAGGGGGCAGCACAGGAGCTTCGTCACAGTCAGGTTCATCTGGGAAAAGACTCATAAACACGGTGATAAATGTTCTAAAACAAAAGCAGGCAAAGATCCTTAAGCAGATTTTTGCAGCTGCCTCTTCAAATCAAAATGTTTAGTCCTAAAGTTCACAGCGAGAGGAGACGAAAGGAGAAAACTGGAGGCTTTTAATTTGAAGGAGAGTAGAAATGAAGAGGCAGTGGGTATGAAGACATATTAGACTGCAGCTAAAAACAACAAAGCTGAACAAATAAGTTAAAAAATAAACAGAACTATTAGTTCTAGCTAAAAGTAGCTAAAAAATAGAAGCACCTATGCAAACATAAAGCAACATAATGGCTATAAAAGTCAAAGTTTTCTGTAAATGTAGTGCGAGAAGTGCAGAGTGCTGGAATTCAAGCTGCTCTGTGATCTGCTGCTCAGTAAAGATGAGGACACGAGGTGGCTGCTCCGCTGTTGTGGTAAATAAACACGTCCTGCTTTATAATTTTTTATTTATTTTTTAGCTTAAATTAGCTTCAAACTGCAGAAAGCCTCTGAATCCCAACTTTCTGTTTTGTTTCCTGAGAATCATTGCAGAGTGATCTCTAATAAAACCTGTTTCTTTGTTCAGTTGGCTCAGGTGACTCCACAAAATAAATGTAAATTAAAAGCAGGTTTAACTTTGTGTCTGTGAGCAGCAGCAGGATAAACTCGTCTCCTCCCTCATGATACAGTCTGCAGTATTTCTCCATGATGATGATTAAATCCCAAATGTTTCAGCTGCTGTTGAACTCAGAGCTGATCAGGAGCTTCAAACTCTGACTTTCTGCTTTAAGAAGGAAACAACACGTTTTCATCCCAGGACTCAGAACAAGGTTCCCTTCAGCAGGGTTTCCTCTGTGTACTTTGTAAAATGATCGCAGCCGCTGTTTCAGATTTTTATGAAATGTCATGAAGTCACAATTACACGACTCTGTGAAGGTTTTTAGTTTGACACGTTAGTAAAGACACGTAGGTGGAACATTTACATTTATTCATTTAGCTGACGCTTTTAACCAAAGCGACTTACAATTGCTATACATGTCAGAGGTCGCACGCCTCTGGAGCAACGAGGGGTTAAGTGTCTTGCTCAGGGACACAATGGTGCCGACGGTCTGTACCACTTCCTGTAATTAACAATCAGCTGTTCCAGCATCAGGTCATATTGTTTGTCCCACAGAGCTGCTGGTCAGTCAGCCCATCTGGCATTAACCTGCCTCCAGGTGAAATCAGACGTGTGTCAACAGCTCAGGTTTATTTTACAGGAGGAATGTGTTTCTTCTGTCCAGCAGCACGTTCAGTCCACCAATCAGCAGCCAGAGAGTAACGACCAATCACTGCTCCCCACAGTAACCAGAGTGACTTCAGTCTGGATCCTCACTAATTCTCATCTGCTGCCTCTGGTCTCTTAATCTCTCTGCAGGTTCTGCAGTTCATGTCTGTTTATAGCAGCTTCATAAAAAGACTTGAAATCATTTAAAAACATGTTGATGATCTGACTGCAGCTGGAAAACAGTCACAGCTGATGATCCAGCTACAGTCAGTCACATCTGCCTCCACCTTTTAGATACTTCTGGATTTATTTCATGGGAGACACATGAGACACATTTACTCACTAATTCCCATCTGCTGGCTCTGCTTCCTGCATCGGCTCATTTTCAGGAGCAGGTCTGAATTATTGTCATTGCACCTCTACATATTCCAAAGATCTTCTTTCTAAAAACAACAACAACAACAACAACAAGAATCACACCAACTGGCAGACCGACACTCAGTCCAACATTTCCCTCCTTGTCTCCTCCCTCCTTGTCTCCTCCCTCCTTGTGTCCAGCTGTGTGACCTGCAGAGCAGAAACAGGTGTGAGGTATCAGCTGTCAGCAGGTGGACAGAATGTCAGACATTATCTACTGCACTTTGATCACATGACTCGTAGCAGCTGTTTCCTCTAAAGTCTCATCAGCAACATCTTTCTAAAACACAAACATCTGATCTGTGATGTTTCTCAGCTCAACTACCAGGAAGCAGCTTCACCTGAGAGACAAAGAGACACTCTGAGCTCTACACGCTGACCTGAGAGACAAAGAGACACTCTGAGCTCTACACGCTCACCTGAGAGACAAAGAGACACTCTGAGCTCTACACACTCACCTGGCTCTGTCACTGTCAGCATGACGGTGCTGATCAGTTTAGCTTGGCCTTTCTCCTTTTCCTCTCTAACCCGACACTCATATGTTCCAGCGTCGTTGATGTTGACGTTCTTCAGAATCACAGAAGCGTCTCCGTTCTTCATCTCTGGATCTCTCAGCTCCACTCGACCACGATAAGATTCATGCTGGTAGTTTTCATCTGAGCTGCCGTCTCTGAAGAAGAAGACATATTCATCTGGCTTCAGGTCAGTTCTGATCCACTTTATAACTTCTATGTCAGCACCTCTGTGACCCCGACAGGGAAGAGTGGCGTCCTCTCCAGGCTTCACCTTCACCTCCTGTGTCTCTGAACAGAAAGAGAAAAGCCTCCAGTCAGGACTTGTAATGTTTCCTGTTGTTCAAACATCTTTTGATGGAAGCAGCAGAGATCAGGTCTCTATAAAACAGCACATGTGAACTCAGCAGCATTTCAAACCCTGTTCTCAGACAACTTGAGTCCCAGCTGCAGAAAGGAGAGACTAACTCCTCTGCTGCAGCTGCACGCTGACTTCATGTTGCTCATTTCTACAGCTGTCAGTCAAGTCGTCCTCCGCACCATCAGACAGGAGACATTTTACTTTCATCTGCTTTCTGCTTGTTTGGAGATTATTGATTATTGATATTATTTCCCATCTGAATACAGACATCAGCATTTCTGAGCCTGAACAAACAGCTGAAATATTAAACATGTGAAGTTTATTATTTCCTAGAAGCTTTGAATCTTTGTCCTTGTTTTCCAAATGTGTCCCCAGTCTGTCCGTCCTCTACTCAGACTGTGTCTGAACTACTTCTACTGAGGAAAGAGTCCCTACAGTATGAAACTGCTTTACTTCTCAGAGAGACAAATGAAGCTGCTGGATCTGCATGGACAGACAGCACGAGAGGGGAGAGGACACATGTTGGTCTCTGCTGTCCATCCGTCCACACAGTAAACTACAGTGCTGGACAGGAACAGAGGTCAGAGGTGGAGACTCTGTTCACAAGTCAGCTCATAATAAACTTTACAAACATATCCAGCAGCCTGCAGAGTCAAAGTCTACAAAAAACTACATTTGAATATAAATTATAATGAACATGTTGTAAATAGAACTGAATGAATAAGTTACAACAACAGTTATTATAATTACTGTAATAACTGTAGGACACTTAGTATACTAACAAATTTCACGGGAATACAGGATGTTTGACACATTTCCCTCCCTGTAATGATCATTAAACAGTGAGTCTAATTTCAGAGTTGCTGTGTCATGATATTAAAAATAATAATAACTGACATTAAGTACTACATATATACTGAATCTTCATATGTTCCTAACATGGATTTATTTCATCACTAGCGTAACATGCAGTAAGATAATCACAGATATGCATCAGTGTGGAACAAATAAACAACTGAAACGATTCACAATGTAATGTGCAATGTTGCTTTCAGCTGTTTTCTCGCACATGGTGCAACATTACCTCACCATGACAGCAGCGGGGCAGAAATTACTTTTAACATGGAGGCAATAAACAAATACATACATTAAATCTGTTTTAAGTGACAAACAGAAACATGCTGCTCGTGCTGATAATGTAGCAGGCTTGTGTGGAAACTAAAAGGTAAAGAAGATTTGTGGTGCTGTCGTCTTGATCATGTGCTCCGAGATTCTTTCACTCCACGTGTTCGTGCACAGCAGTTGTGCTGCAGTGAAACTATTTCCTCTTCACAGAGCGCCATTTTGTTCAGTGTCTCTCTAAAATACTTCTGAACTTTAGATGGTTGGAGAACAGATCGTCTAGCTCAGAGGTCACTAATAGGCGGACCGCGGTCCGGATCCGGACCCAGCCGCCGTCCTCTCCGGACCGCCGACCTACAGCACATTTATTATTGAGACTTACTACCTCGTGACGGAGCATTTCTATTTTAACCCGCGCAGCTTTTCTAGCATTTACTGTACTGGTTTAGAGGACCAGGAAACTCACAGACCAATCGCATGTGCTCCAAGCGTCTCATGTGACGCTGCTCAGCCAATCAAATCTGTGCATACCGAGGCTTGCGAGTCGAGTCCGCGAGATTCACCAGAGACGTTTTGGAAACACACCCGAATTGAGGAGACGAAAGATAAAAGAGATTTCACATGACTTTTAATCAAGAATGTACAGATTCTTACATGTACATTCCTCCCACGGGCAGTTCAAAACCAGAATATCTCATAGATCTCCAATATGCTAGCTGGAGCTCACGTTTCTCACTGAACAACAGAAAGTAGGAAAGTGGTAGCTCTGTAAGAGGAAATGAAAGAGAAGAGGAGGCATTACTGTACTACATTGTTCATTTGTTATGATGTGTTGAGTGTTTATTATAAAATTGGTTAAGACTACACTTCATCACTTCAAGCTACACTTTTTGTTACATTTTTTCTAAAAATTAGGCACTTTAATTTAGTTTACTTAAATTTAGAATTTATTATTTGAATAGTTATTATTTATTATCCTTCCAGTTTGATGTGAAAACTGACTGAAATATTATTTGATTTGACAGTCCGTTGTTGACTAAAAACACGTGTTGATACAACTATAGGTTATAGTACTGAATGATAACGCAAGTTCGTCGTTTTGATGTTCCGGACCTTTGCTTCAGGAAATTTTCTCTAACTAGACCTCTTTGAAATCTAATTGAATACCCCTGGTCTAGCTGATGAGTTGACACACGTTATGCGAATCGTTGTATTTCCGTAATCAATGACGTCTTTGAATCACCCCAGACCTACCACACGGACACACACTCCTCTTACCTTGACACAGAACAACGATCCATGAACATGCGAACAAAGCCACGAATGGCGGCCATTTTAAAGCGACCATGACTGACTTATTCTTTCTTCTCTGTAGTTTCTGTTGACAGCGGACCGCCTACGGTGATCTACAGTGATAATCTCTCGATCGTTTTCAGGTTAGGTCAGATATTTAGAAGCAGAGATGATGAAGGTGATGACCAGACTGAATGCTTCTTCCTTTTCTTTTTACAGTGGACCCGCACTGCCGAGGGAGCGGGGAAGGTGTCACGTGATTTCTGACGTCTGCGTGAGGTTGTTTATTTGTGATCTTGGTTGAACTTTTGTCAAGTGAGTCATTGTGAGTGAGAAGTGAGTCCTCTCCCAGGAACCCAAAGAATGGTGTCCCACAGCATGATGTTAGATCCCGAGTTACCCCTGTTCAGGAGGTACTGGACCAGCTCTCCGTCTTAAAGGGCCCGATCCTCTAGGCCTGTGGGTATTACCCTATTAGGTATAACTGAGGACTGTTTAAGCTGCTGTCGAAGAGATTCGCCTAGCTTCTAAGGGTCTTCTTCCGAACGCCTGCCCTGCTTACTCTGAATTGGCCCTAGAGCCAAATATCACCCCAGCCACACCCGTTAACGACAGCTCTCTGATTGATACTAAGTAAAATGATAAAATGTTTAAAATTCTAAATCTGATTATAATAGCTGAGCTTGAGTGATTTAGATGTCTTCTTTTTGGAGAGAAAGGGAAGAGAAGTAGTCGTCTTGGCCAAGGAGATCTTTCCCTCTTCTGTGGATCTGTAGAATCTTGTAGAAACTTGGTTTGGTTGTTGTGGTTGTCCACTGTGGCTCAATCTCTTGAAGTCCACTGAAGAAAACTCTGAAGAAGTCTCTAGTTGTCTGCTGTTCAAATCTCCAACTCTTGTCTTAGGCTCTTGGTCCGCTTGGTCCTGCTCCGAGTCCAATGTCTCTGAGGTCTGCCGAGGAATAACCCCAATCTCTTCCTGACTCCTTTTTATTTATCCTACTCCGTAGCTGAGTTTTCCTGTCAAATCAGCCACAACCCTTTTCCTGTTTACGTGAGTTGGGCCAAAGCTCTCCTTACTTGACCGTTTCATTTTCCCTTGCTGACCCTTCTCTCCCGATGAAGACTGTTACACCCATTTCAGTATTTCACAACAAGTTCAACATATCTCAACATGATTCTTCACTTCTTTTACTCTTCCACACACATTTGTATCAATACTATTAAAAATTATGATCTCCTTAATTTCGTTAATCATAATCATTTCATTTCATGGCTATAATCATATGTTAGTTGATCACTTTATAATTAACTGTCTCATTTGCATATTTAAACATAACATTTCAGAAAACCTGTAATACAAAAAAATATTTTCTTAATATAAGTAATCAACTAGGAAAGTTTCACGGTGATATCTATTAGTTGTTTTTTTACCACCTACAGTCTCTCACCTTCATTATTAAATAATAATAATAATACGTTGATTAATAATTATTTAATATAAATATTGATGCCATCGAAAGCCTAATATCCAACAACAGTGATTCATTTTCAACAATACTGAGAGATTAACAACAAAAGTATATAAAATACAAGATTGATGATATTAAGGGCTACACAAGGTGGACACAAACATTATAATGTGATACGAATATCCATCACCATAGACAATGTTATTTAATACTCAGTTTATTCTCTTCAGCTTTGTTCCCTTCTGGCCTTTTTGAATTCTGTAGTATTGATCAAGTGGGCGATGAAAGTTTTCACTGCAGGCAAGCTTTGCAGTAATGTTGCACACAGTCTGTGTCAGACAATGGGTTTTCACAGTGAATCCAACCAGTCCTTCACATAGAAACAGTAGTCCTATACAGGCTGTGAGAGGCAACTGAGAAAGTTGGTAAACGCCTCAATTTTTAGGTGAAGTTACAACCTGCTCACATACAGACCATAACAATGTTATAAATATATTTAAATTCCTTTTCAAAACTACACAATTCCCCTATTAAAAGGTGCGTCGCTGACTTAACTGGTTACAGATCAGAGTTGCGCAGCAGTCTTAAAATATGTTGAAAGGTCTTGAAACAGGTCTTTAAAGGTATTTTTACTGCAGGATTCCTGTGTATACCCTGGGTAAGGTAAGTCAGTGATGACAGCAATGGAAAGCACCACCTCACGTATAATCAGACTATACTAAGACAAGATATAACTTTATTAAGACAGAGCAGCACAGAGAAATGTGAAAGAATGGATACAGTAGAATCAGCAACATTCAACACAGATGTTTAAATATAAATAAACTGTATACTCAGAATATATGTTCGTTACGTAATTAATATTCAATATAGATGTTTAAATATTTACACATTATTTGCCCTGTGATAATTATTTGCAGTCAGATCATTTACACTCAGATAAATGTCTGAAATATACTCAGGAACAGTCTCTCAGTTTGGTGCTGTGGTGTTGTGGAGCCTGACGGCACAAATGAGCCTCCTGAGTGCTGTGAGGCTCGGGGCTGAATGAGTCTGTGGCTGAAGGAGCCCCTGAGCTGCCTCAGCTCAGCAGAGAGAGGATGCGAGGAGTTGTCCAAGATGGTTTTCAGCTTCCTCTCATCCTCCGCTCAGTCTCTGCCTCCACACTGTCCAGTTCTATCCACACCACCGAGCTGGCCTTCCTCACCAGCTTGCCCAGTTTGTTGGCACCACAAGTCCCGCCGCCCCCTCCCCAGCACACCACAGCGAGGAAGATGACACTGGCCCCTACAGACAGGTAGAACATCTAGAGCAGCATGGTGCACACATTGAATGACCTGAGACTCCTCAGGAAGAACAGCCTGCTCTGTCCTTTCCTGTAGAGGGCCTCATGTTGTCTGTCCAGTTTGTTGTTGAGGTGCACCCTCAGGAACTTGTAGGTGTCACCATCTCTACCCCCAAAGTGCATCTGTTAGCATTTAGCATCTTAGCCACACCCACCAACTGCTCAGAGACCATAGGTTTGTTTTTACACTGTAATTGATGCAACTTGAAATGTCGGAAGGTACTATACGTGAAAGAAAAGGTAAAATTACTGATATTTAATTCCTGGCCTGTAGCTCCACATGACACAGACTTTATTACGGTCAGTTTAAACTTCCACCCCTGCTTAACACAGTTTCACTAGTTAGCACTTGGGATAAATGAGTAGAGCTGCCACACTCACTGTTCAGACAGTTAACAGGACCCCTCGGAAAATGTAATTATATTGTCGGACTTCATAGGCTACTGTAGAGGGGCAGAAAGCTAGACTCAGGCCTGCTGGAAGCCCTGATCTGTCCTCTGCATTTAACAAGTACTGGTGGAGGTCGACAGCACTTGGAGTTCAAAAGAAGCTACTGGAGTCAGTCAGAGATTGATGCAATAGAGTTTATTGTCAAAGCAAGACAGAACCTGAGTAAGCCTCAGCAGACCGTCAAGCCACACTGAAAAACATGGTGTGAAGACACCAAGAGTACTTTCAGGCAGGCTTTTCCCAGGGTACGGGCCCCCTTTGGATCGTTCTGGTCCTACACCATTAACTCCCAAATACATAGGTCCTCCTAACACAGAGACCTGACTAGGGATGTTACATGCTTATACAAGTGTCTGAATAACATAAAACTTAATATATTAAATAGATAATACATTTTGAAGAATATAGAATATGGTATATTGAATAAATGATACATTCTTACACTACTGCACCACATTTATAGATTTCACATTAATGATGAGATAAAGAAAAACATATCAGAAGTCGCTGGACTTTAATATCAACATCAAACTCTAAATAAGAAGGCTACATGGTAAAAAGTACTCTGATCAAATATATCCGAGTACTGCTGGCAGTAAACAGAACCTGTGTGAAGCTTCTTGTGTTCAGATATTAAAAACATATAAGATCAACACAACAACTTTCTTTGTGTCTTTACAAGCTTGGGTAAAATAACAAGAGAACCCTGCTCTGTAACTGAAAACATATTTAATAACACAATTCAGAGAACTTTAAATCCAGTGCACCAGTTACTAAAAGTTACCTGAGTAGTTAAATAAATCTTATTAACAGGAAGTCAGATTGATTCTCTGAATGTGTGAGTGTGTTTTTAACCAGCAGATGTCAGCAGAGTTACTCTGGAGCAAACAGGAGAACAGAGGGATCATCCAGCATGTTCATCTTTACAGACAGGATGTCTCAGCATAATTGCACCAATAAAAGAAGAAAGTCTTTAGACTAATTCAAACATTTAATAAAAAACAGTTTCAGTGTTCTGGATCTGTATCAGTGCAAATTACAGGATATACTGACATTTGTTTGGCTGGTTTATTAAATACTTTCAGAAACATAAACAGAGCCTTAGCTTTCTCTGATTTTTAGGATTTTCTTTTAGATATTTTATACAAAGAAACTCTTCTTCTGAGAACAATAAGTTAAACCTTTTCAGGAGGGCAAAGAGCTGCAGGACCTGACGGGTTCAAGTATCTCGGGTTTTGTTAACGAGTGAAGGTAAAATGGAGCATGATCCTGACATGGTGCGGTGTCAGCAGTGATTTTGAGGTGAAGCGGCAGCTGAGCATGAAAGCAGATCTCTAAAAAGTCGATTAGAGTATAGAGCCCTGCAGGGGCCTCAGATCTAAGCCCTGGTATGAGAAGCCCAGGCCCCAGGCCCCAGGCCCCAGGCCCCAGGCCAAAAGCTTATCACAATCATTGGCCTGACCCCAAGTTTTCTTTTCATTTCTTTTCTTTTCCCCATAACACAGCCTGTACTACTGCTACAGCCATTAAACAGTCAGGTTTGTTTTTAATGGCAAAGTGATTTAATTTGTTTTCTGTTTCATCAGTAAGTTAAAATAGAAAAATGTTTGGAGCATTTTTTCTGTTTGTTAAATAAATGTTTTTTGTGTGACAACCAAGAGGCCATCCATGAGTTGACGCTCGATTTAAGATCAACACTTGACCAGCCAATAAAATAATCTGTAGATATAAAAGCATATCGCAGTGTTTAAACTTTTATCACCACCACAGTAAAATTGCATTACTGATCATCTACTCCTCGCAACAGGCTATACAATCTAAACAAATACTAAGTTAAAAACATACAGGTTCTCTGACCTTACCGAGGCTATTGTTAAAAGTGTGGTTTGTGTTCATATTTTCCTGTTTAAGTCTGGTTTTGGTTATGTGTTTCTCTGTGTAGCCTTGTTTATTCTTTTATTCATTTGCATGTTTTAGTTTACTTAGTATCTGTCTAGTATCTTATCTTAGTTCTTAGTCCTGTGCCTTAGTTCATGTCCTAGTGTTACTCCTGGTCTGTGTACTTGGGTGTTTATTATTTTTTGGTCTTGTCTACTGTTTCATCCTCGTCTCTGTCTTTCTGTCTGGCTGTTGTTAGTTTCAGTTTGTTACCCCACTGATCACTGTGCTTTGTGTGTTCTCTCCTTGTATCTGTGTCTTAGTCCTGTGTCTCCATGTTTGTGTATTCTTGTTCCTGTTTGGTCCTGTCTCTGTTCCCTGCCCTGATTTTGCGGTCTCTCCATGCTTTGTGTTTTACATTGGTAGATCTGTCCTGGTGTGTTCCTGTGTGCTTTACTTCCTGTTTTACTTTGTAGTGTTCAGTTCTCATGTGTCCTTGTCTAGCTTTGTTTCCTGTTGTTTGATTACCTGAGGTGTTTCAGCTGTGCTTCCCTCCCTGCTCGTTTGCCTGTGTATTTAAGCCCTCGGTTTGGTTCAGTCTTTGTCACATCCTTTGTCTGTGTTGAGTGTTCTGTCCTGTCCCTGCCCTTTTGGATTATTTTGTTGGATTGTACCTTGTTCTTTGTTCATGGACTCTTCCCTCTGGATTATGTCTTTATTTGAAATGCAACTGTTATGGGTCCCAGGGATAGGTACCTCAATAGCAGATATGTGACCTGTATGAAAGCAGGTGAAACAGGAGCAATGAAGATACGGTGCATCTGTGTTTCGTTCCAGATTGCTTCTGGTTGTTTTATTAAACAACTCAAAACCAGGTTAACACAACACATTTCTGTTCGACGCATTTCAGTTCAATGTCCAGGCCCAATAAAGCTTAATCACATACTCAACATTCTCACCGTCTCAATAAAATATTTTCTCACTCTTTTCAGTTACTGTCTCTGTGATAAACACATTTCCCTTGACTTTCAGATTTAATAAACATCTTTAATGCTTTAACACTCCTATTTACGTCTAATATAACTAGGGCATGGCCTATACTGCCCCTTTAATATGTCAGAATTGACAATAAACTTCTGTAATAATTACAGTTCACTGAAATGTATTGACTAGAAAGTGCTTATGCTACATATTTTAACCATTTATTTAATTATATTTAATATTTACTTCCTGTCTTTACACATATCAAAATCGTACACAAACAATAATGTTAGGTGAAGTAAACTCAGTAGCTATGGGTTATTTAAACTGCCTATAAACTGCCTTTTATTGCAGATTAAGAAAGATAAGATTCTAGAAAGAATTGTGTCCAAACAGCTCCTCACTGTAAAAGTAAAAGTTTCAGTCTGGTTTTAGGAAGTACCACAGCACTGAGACTGCCCTGCTTAAAGTCACCAATGACCTTTTAATGTCTGCTGATGAAGGCATGTGCTCAGTCCTGGTACTCCTGGATCTTAGCGCTGCTTTTGACACCATTGATCACAACATCAGACAGACTGAGGCACTGGGTGGGGATCTCTGGTACTGCCCTAGAATGGTTTTCATGCTACCTGTCAAATAGGAAGTTGTGTGTGTCTGTAAACAACTATGTCTCCTCGTTCTGTCCAGTTAAATATGGTGTGCCTCAGGGGTCGGTCTTAGAACCCATTTTGTTTTCCTTGTATCTGCTTCCCCTTGGACATATTATCCATAAACATGGCATTTCTTTTCATATTTATGCTGATGACACACAAATATACTTGCCCGTCAGATCCACAGACCCTGGAATGCTGAGTTCACTTAACAACTGCCTTTGTGAAGTTAAAAAATGGATGTCAAATAATTTCCTCCAGCTGGTCCCAGCAGATGGCAAATCAAATACTGCCATCTGCTGGTTCGCTAGTAAATCACATTAAGCCTGTGGCAAAGAACCTTGGTGTTTGGTTTGATAGTAATTTAAATTTCGAGCAGCACACCACAAAGCTTGTTCAATCATGTTTTTATTAACTTAGAAATATAGCTAAAATTCGATCTATGTTAACTTTTAAGGACACCAAGATCATTTTACACACCTTCATCTCATCACGCCTGGATTATTGCAACAGCCTTTTCAACCATTTAACCCAAAAATCTATTGATCGACTCCAGACTGTCCAGAACTCAGCTGCCAGGCTTTTAACCAGAACAAAGAAATATGACCACATTACTCCTATTTTAGCTTCATTACACTGGCTCCCAGTATGTTTTAGAATTGACTTTAAAATTCTATTGATCACTTTTAAAGCTCTTCATGGCCTCTCGCCTTGTTATATTTCTGACCTTTTAGTCCCATACACACCAGCACGTACCTTGAGATCCTCAGGCAGAGGTCTGCTATCTGTTTCAGAGTCTCGACTGAAAACTAAAGGGGACAGAGTGTTTGCTGTCAGGGCCCCGAGGTGCTGGAACAGCCTTCCCGAGGAAATCAGGTCGGCTGAGTCAGTGAACTCTTTTAAGTCCCTTCTTAAAACATACTTTTATAGGAGAGCCTTTCCCGATCTTATTTGACTTTATTTTATCCCTTTTATTTTATTGTCTTTTCAATGTTTTCATGCTTTTATCTTGTATTGTTTTTTGTATTATTGTCTTTACACTTGTTAAAGCACTTTGTGACTTGTTTTTGAAAAGTGCTCTACAAATAAGGATTATTATTATTATTATTATATTATTTGAGTCCGCACCTCAGTTCTCTGCTTCTGCACTGAGCTGCCCATGACAGCTCTGCATCAAAAATCAAGGCTTCACCACAGAACATAGTCAATCCCTCACAAACAGTCAAGCTGAGGCTGAAGTGCGGGGCTCTAGATCAGACCTTCACTACTTTTAGAGAAGAGCTTTGGGTAGTCGCTGAAAGAATGAGATTCTAACAGCCAAATGACCTTCCTCCGTAGGTTGTCTGGGCTCAGCCTTGTAGGGTGAGGAGCTCAGACATCCAGACAGAACTCAGACTACATCTTCTTCTCCAACCTCGAGATGGTTCAGGTATCTGGTCGGGATCCTCCTGGGTGGCTTCCTTTAAAGGTTTTCTGGGTACATTCAACTGATAAGAGTCCCGGGGCAGACCCAGAACACTGAGGGATTATATGTCTCATATAGGGTGGGAATACTTTGGGATCCCACAGGAGGAGCTGGAAGACGTTGCACAGGAGAAGCACGTCTGTGAAACGCACACATTTAGCAAAATTACTTTTTCAACTTGATGTTCTTTCAGTATAAACACATGCATCTGTTCCAGAAGGACTCTGTGAAACCATTAACACAAAAGTTTGAACAGGTTTCCTTCCCTCATCGCTGTTTCTCTGTGCAAAACTCCAAAAGTCCAGATGATAAATGTAAAACAGGACTCACACTGATCATTAAACATCAGAGATGAACCACAGTTTAGTTGCACAGTGAATGTTACTGCCTCCTGCAGGACATCTGTGTCACTGCAACAACAACAACAGAAGTAAGAGGGAAACCCAGGAAGGTTTGATCTAAACTTCTACAAAATGTTTTTGGAAAGTGAAATCTTCATCACAAAGATATTTACAGAGTGGAGAGAAACTCCACTGAGGAACTTTAACTCCTTGTTTCTAATGAATCTGTCTCTCAGTGATCTCAGATCAGCCCTCCTTCATGTTCAGCCTGCAGCGCTGTCACTTCCTGCATGTGATTAAACTCTTTGTGTAGGGCCCCGTGTCTCCTGATGAGCTCTGAGTGAAGAAGCAAAACCAGATGAGCTTCTACACAGTCACTGCTCTCACCTACAGAGAGGAAGAGATTAACTGGACTGACTGAGTGGAGGAGCGATGGGACAGACCGCTTTTCTGCTCTGTAAGTACAATCTGATGAAAAACAACGTCACTTTAGAATTTACCTGAAAAAAGACAAAACTCAACGACAATGACACTCAATGAAAATAATTTAGACACTGCAGCTGGTGCAACAAGCTTTATTAGGCTACAGACATGAAATGACAGTTCTTGTGACTTTCTTGTTTTTGTATTTTAACCCGTGAAGCACCTTGGTCAACCTTGGTTCCTTTTTCCACATATACAATAAAACCTTTTATGAAACTAGTTACAGTTACAAACTAGAGACTTTTTAATTCAATTCAAATGTGCAGAAATGTCATCATTATTTCAATGGTTGGCAGGTTTATTACTTTTTCAGAGGCTGCCATCTCAGTTGAGATGCTGTAACTATTGTCCTTTATCTAAACGTTGTTCCTGTTAACATTGCAACTTAAACACCAGAGCTGTGCAGCCTCTGAGAGATCGCTCACAGACAGAGCTGAGAGAAGTCTGCTGCTGAGGGCTCAAAAAAGTGTTGGGGCCCCAGTGTACTGGAAGCAGTTCCAAACCCTGGATAAAGTTAATAGTTTTATTGTGACTCAGATTTAAAGCATAGCTATTATACTATACTACTTCTATACTATAATAAAAACACACAGAGAATTATTAAGTATTTATTCATTAGGAGGCAAAAAAGAATTTCTAGTATGTCTGGCAGCCTTTTTGCCACTGAATCCCATTTAAAATACATGACATACATAAATCAGCTTAACCCCCCCCTTCCCAAAAAAAGTTTATTGTGAATCTTTCTTCATAATGCAGCTACTGAGCTGGTTGGAAATAAATTATAATAATAAAGCCTGGTCCGTTTCCCTGAGCTCATTACTTCAAGGAACTGTCCCATTGATGTCCAAGCCATCATTGTTGTGCAGCGTGTTAGCAACCGCTGTGCTCATTGTTTGAATAAATCCTATCATTAGCTACCTACAACTAAGTGACATTGGATTAACACAAAACCTGTTAGACTCTTCAGTAAATAGGTTCAATGTGTAAAATGTCAGGAGTTTCAGAAGCTAAAAATCTTCAGCATCAGTTTGGCAACAAGTTCAGAATCTTTTGTTCAACAAACAAGTTTCTTAAATGCAATGCTTGGACATCAAGGTTTTACTGTGATGCCCGTCTGGTTATTTAACTAAAAATACAATAAATCCCCCTCCAGCCTCTCTGACTGTGAGTCCCAGCAGCTCTCAGCTGTTTGAAGGAGAGTTTGTCTCTCTGAGCTGTGAGGAGGACGACAGCTCTGCTGGATGGACGCTGAGGAGGAACACAACCAGAGAAACCAGGACTCAGTGTGGAGCTGACTGGGGAAGATCAGCTGGTTCTTCCTGTAACATCAGCTACATCTTCCCATCAGACAGTGGAGTTTACTGGTGTGAGTCCAGAGAGGGAGCAACCAGTAACACCATCAGCATCACTGTCACTGGTAAGATCAGACTGTGGAGTTAGTGTTGATGAAGCTGTGTGTAAATGATGAAATGCTGTAGTTTGTCTCTGTTTTTGAGGTGGACCAGTGATCCTGCAGAGTCCTGTCCTCCCTGTGATGGAGGGACATGATGTCGCTCTGCACTGTAAAACAGAGACCCCTCCCTCCAACCTCCCAGCTGGTTTCTATAAAGATGGCTCCCTCATCAGGACTGAGCCTACAGGTCACATGACCATCCACCATGTTAACAAGTCTGATGAAGGCCTCTACAAGTGTAACATCAGAGGTCGTGGAGAGTCTCCATCCAGCTGGATCTCTGTCACAGGTGAGGAGCTCAAAGATAATTCTCAAACTGACCTGTTTTTTTTCTAAACTGGACAGAAGTTATGAATTCACTTCTGTGTGTCTTTCTGTTAGTACGATACAGCACCTCTACCTTTAAACATGTGTAACGTGAACATGTGCAGGTTAACAAGACTAATATTGGAACTTAGTTTTAAATATTAAATTAAAAATACATTAAACAAAATGGGTAAAAAATTTAAATACCCAAATTTGCACCTACCTGAACAGAAAAGGCCAAAAGGAGGATTTTGTTCTATATTTTTTCATTTAAGTTCTTTTGATAATTATTTCCTGTTAATTTTAGGGAAACCCACCACTACACGTCCTCCTACGTCCACCTGTCTTTCTTCATCACCAGCTCCTCCTCCTCCCTCTGTGATGCTGTGGTCTGTTCCTCTGTCCTTTGTTCTGGTTTTACTGGTTCTGCTGCTTCTACTTTTCAGATGGCGTGTTCAGAGGAAACATCCAGGTTAGACACAGAGTTATGGATTTAACACGCGTTAATATTGAAAGAAGACTTTTTGAATGGGATCAGACAAGCCGTGTGTTGAGCACAGACAGATGTGACAGGCGCCGCACTGATAAAATGACTGATTAAACAATTATCTACCAGATCATCATGATTTACCCACTGTTACATTCCCACAGTGTTTTTCCTAGTGACAGACGGATGACTTCGTGAACAACAAGTTGTGATTTTTACGTCTTTACTGTTCGTAGACTCTATAAAACAAAAGCACCGAACATACTAATGTACTGCCATTTTATGGATGTGTGTACCCTACACATGTTACCATATTGAGAGTTATTTTAAGTATAAGTAATGATGTCCATGTCCAGTGAAAATTTAACATGTAAATTATATTGCTGTTCATTTTGGTTCATTCCAGTTGCTGAAGAAGAAGCTGCAGGAAATGACATCACAGAGGACATCACATTAAGTAACATCAGAATATCACATTGTCAACGGCAGCGAATCAGACGATGCAGAGGTAACTTATTTCTTGGTAGTAATAATGATGAACCTGAATCACCATCGTTGACTTAAATAAAGATTCTCCAGTTATTTTTCACGTCCTGGTTGAAACCAGGCTACAGTCCTCCTCCTTGTTGTCTCTGTAGATGAGGGTGATGCTGGGTAGTGGTGATATCGTGTTAACTCACGTGAGGGAATGTCATTGTCGCTACCTGCTGGTGAAGCTAATGAACTGATTCTCAGACTTGTGGATTTCTTTCTACAGATTTCCACAGAACACTAAATTCCATTAATTGACTGGAAGCGAGCCACAAACGTACAAATCCCTCCCTGCTTCTATTGATATGACTTTGCACAACACAAATGTAAAAATACATATTTGGGGACTCTCCTCTCCACTAACGACTTTAGCCTGGCCGACAAACTAAATGAGTTCTACTTATTATTCTACGTATTTTTTTAGAATAATTTTTACTGTGCAAATAATATTTATACTCTACCATAGTCACTTTGTACTCCCGTGTCAATTTCAGTAATCAGATCGTTTTCTGTCCTTAAAACCACCATTGTTATTCTGCATTCATCTGTGGTACTTTCTTCTTTTGTAGACGATTAACTTCCTGTTTACACCAGCACAAGCATGCCCACTGTACGTGAATGGCCACGTGTGTTTTCAGTTGATTTAATATAGACAGAGATGAATTGATTGATTGACTGATTCTCAGCTAAATTCTGGCGTGGACTGAGATCGATTTTGTTTTAAAACAAAAGCATTGTGTGGATGCAGCCTGATGTGAGACAGAAAGCTTGTGGCTGACCCTCCCACCCCAAACACAAACTGTTTCAGACACTCCCCTTTGACAAGAGGCCACGGCCCATCAGGACTATCTCACTGCACAAATCTCCCTATTTATGTATTTTATATTGATTGTTATGCTTGGATCTGCATTCTGAGAAGGTCTTGAATCGGCTGAACAGGGCAGGAATTAAGGAAATGTCCTTGATGGAGATGCTCCGTTGGTGTCAGATGAGCTCTTCAAGTTGCATGGGTTCGACTTCAAGGATATGTGTTGTATGGGAGTCTGTCTGTTGTGCACCCTGTAGTGAATCTGTTAAAAGACGCTAACAGCTCTGTGTTTGTCCAGTTTCCTGTTTCTGATAAAAACACTGCACATGTTTCACTGCAGGACTGTTGCAGGACTAAGGGATAATATAATAATAAGTCATTAGAGCTTACATTTCTCTGCATTCTGCTCAAAATGTAGTATATCTAAATATATTTGAACTTTTACTCAAACATCATTATTGATCTGTTTGCTTTAATGTAAATAATTATTACATTAAGTGCTTAATTTTAAATAACAGAGAAGATGGACTCAGCAGACCAAAGACACTTGGTTGATTGTCTTCTGCATCTTTTTTGTGTTTCTGCAAATCAAACCACAGGAGCAACCTGTTGATTCCAGTGAACTGTGGCGTGAAGCTGTTGTGGTTTCACACTATTAGGTGGTCTGTTTTAGCTGATGTTTGTCTGTTTTGTTGCACTTGATCTTGTTTTAACAGAGCGAGCAGCTTTGTGGTCGTCCAGTTCCCTGTTACAGATAAATACCCTCCAGTTATATTCGGTCTTTCACCCCTCACAGCAGTGGTGTTGAGAAGAGTGACAGCAGGTGGAAAATATATTAAAAAGTGTCTTAGACAAAAACATAAACAGTGAACATAAACATAGAAAGTGGCGTGAAAAGAAAAGGCAAGCTCAAAGACCGTTTTTAAAGGCCCCCCAGAATTTAACACTGTCAATTATCTTTGATAAAACATGCTTGTTCTTTTCCACCTCTTCAATCCTGTGGCCTTCGTACAGCTGTGTAGCGATGTTTACTCTGTCTAGCCTGGCAAGCTTCACCATATTGTCCATATGTGCCCTCGTACACTCATGTTTCTTAATCTTCTCAGATAAATGTATTTGTCATTTACTCCTGTAACAGTCCATATTGTATCCGTTCTCGCTGTTTTAAAAAGCAAGCATGGGAAGCAAAATACGGCAACCAGCTAGCCAAGCTTTTCTATTGTACCAATTGCAGAGCATGTACATACGTTTTAACTTTCTCGCTAGCCTGTTGACTGATTTTGATGTCAGCTTGGTCTGGGCCAAGGTCTTTGACATGTAGTTTCTCCACCAAAGTTCTCCTCTCAAATGGATTTTGAAGAAGAGATCTTACTGAATTTGTGGGCGGCTGAAAGCCTGTGTCTTGAGTTCCCGCATTCATCATTGTCTACGACGTCAGGTGTCCCTAATCTTCCACCGACTCACTCGGCTTCAGGCATCAGATTGGCTCATTTGCTTAATTTATTGTTACGTCCCCGGCTTATCTAGGGGTGGGGGAGGAACAAAAGATTGATAACCCGGGTGGAAAAACCAAGGACGACTCAAAACATGTGTCAAGTATACGTAGTTATTCTTAGAGAAGAGGGCAAAACAAAAAGGAATCTCTGCTTACACGAGAGACAAATATAAATGTAAATTATACGAGGTTTCTAAATAACAAAGTACCACCCAGCGGACCACACAGTCCCCACCGCCACCGCGTTGGGGAAGCACGCATGGAGGGCACCCGCCGCTCACCACACCGGCTTCCACTGCCCGGGGACGCTGAGGCGAGAGCTGCCTCCACGGGGCCTCTGGCCCTACTGAGCGCGGAGAGGTTGCAGGTGGCAAACTGCCGGTCACTTCAAGCCACACAGTAAAACACACCGTAAACAATACAGTAAGTCGCACAGTACGTTACCCAGACTAATGTGAATAACCACCGACAGACAGGGATTGAATGAGTCACCACCACACCACGAGCACTCAACTGGCCCGGCTTACATAGCCTACTAATTGGCCTTGATCGGCCCCAGCTGTGAGCTCCACCCAGCTCCACTCAGCAGGCTGCACGTACACGTCTGCGGGGAGACACAGACACACCCAAAGTAACACAACTATAGCACCCAGACCTCATGGGTCATAACATTTATGTTGCTATGGGCATATCTTGTGTCAGTTATTGGCTGCGCTGCTGTCAATAACTAATATAGTAAAAAGAAACATCAAAACACTTTCCACCACCACATAAAGTTTAAAAGTTATTGTAATTCTACATGAAAAATAAAATTATTTTGTCATTATTGAGTGTTGCAGAATTAGTAATACAGCAGTGAATCTACTAACAGTACAGTTGTTGTACCTGAAGTAATGTAATTTATATGCATTTTGTCTTCCAGAGTGTTATTCAGCTGCAGTCTACTCAGCAGTGAGAGGAACAAAAGAGTTATTGACAAACAGCCATCAGACCAACAGGACGAGAGGTACAGCTGCTCTACTTTGGACGCTGTATGTGCTGTTAACTCTTACTAGTATCTATTGTTACTTGTAGATCTCTTGCTTTATTGATGCTTGTATGTTGTTCCTTAAATGTAAGTCGCTGTGGATAAAAGTGCCAAATGAGTAAATTTAATGTAATGTAAATGAACAGAACCAAGGTTCGCTGTTTCCCCTGCCTCTGTCATGGAAAGGCTGAGTGCAACGGCAAACAAACTGAGGTGTGGATCCAAATGCAGAAACTAGCAAAGAGGGTGCAGTTCAAGGAATTTAATTAAATAAACAAAAACAGGCTCACAACCGAGCACAGGCAGGCAAGAGTCCAAACACAGGGGTAAATCCAACAAAGGCTCAGAAATCCAGAAACAGATTAATCCAAAATACAGTGGCAGGACAGAACACTCAACATTACACAAGGATGCACAAGGACTAAACAGAACTGAGCACATTAAATACAGGAACAAACGAGCAGGAGATACACAGGTGAACGACACGAGGGACTAATCAGGCACAGCAGGCACACAGGAAGGTAGAGTGAAACAGGAAGGCAAATCAGACAATGAAACTTAAATTGAACAGATCAGAATAAAGAAAATACCAAAATGATCATAAGAACAAGCAGACACTAAACAAAAGTACAATAAACCAGGCAGAGGTAACGCAATAAATCAGACAAAGCTAAAACAAACTAGACAGAACAGGAACAAAGCTAGACACGATCACCAGACACTAGGAGGATAGCAAAGTAAAACAGGAAATAATGCATGCGACAATACTCAAGGACGTACTTGACAAAGTTAACAGAAGACACAAAATGGCATGCATACCAGACAGGACCAAGGCAAGACAGAGAGCACAGAATGAAAAGGGTCAGGAACAATAGACTAAACAGAGAACACAAAACCAAAACTTTGAGAACAGGAACCAAAAACCAAAATCACTCCACAGCAGGTCAGAGCACGACTAACAGCGTCCAGTATTTATGCTAAGCTAAGCTAAGCTAACTGCTTCCTCACAATTTTAATGTTAATGTTTAATGTGTGTTTAATGCAATTATCTAAAGACAATTCAGTAGTCATGGTCAATGATGAATAAGGTTGATCAGCTTACATGCTATCTTTCAGACTTCATCCTAAATTAGGAGATCAAACTTGAGCAGGTATCTGGGAATTGTTGCCCCAGTAATTTGTTTTATCCTACAGATCGTGCATTCTAGGGAAGTTTTTGAAACATTTGGATGTTGCAATGTAAGAGCGTATGTTTCGCTTCAACATTGAAGGGGATTAAAACTGCAGTCTGCTGACAATTTCTGCTTTTTTCTGTATCAACTTATGGCGGGAATGTCTTAATTTATTTAAAGGGAAACACTAAAATCAGGCTGCAGGTAACAATTCAAAATATAAAAATATAATGCAGTAACAATGAATTGTATAATGCAGCATTCTGTGTTGCTTTCAGATAAGTTTTCTACCGTAGATCAACTTTTCTCATTTATTTTCATCCTCACTGAGTCAACATATGCAGGCATGATTTAGTCTTCCCTCCTCTTTGGTGCATTTGGTTTGGGGGAGTAACCTCTTTATATATGGTTGTATTTATCATGCAGGTGAAAAGATGCCACGTGCACATTTAAATATTAAACGAAGGGTAAAAACAAGGGCAACTGGACTTGGATGAAGTTACTGGAAGACGTTTCGTCCCTCATCCAAAGGACTTCTTCAGTTCTGACTGCAGGGAAACTCAGCTATTTAACCTCAGTGGGGTCGTTGGCCCGGGTCATCGATACCACTGGTTCGTTAGTGTTCCTTGTTGCTATGACGTCAGTCGTTACAGTCGTTAAGACTACCTGTGGCCAAGACTGAATTTAAAGACACATTTAAAGAGGTTACAGGAAAAAACTAATCTTAGAGAACGGGCAAAAAAACAGAAATCAGTGCAGAAATTTCACCAGAATGCAGGAAATATTTTCAATTTTAATATAATCAATATAATAAATAGAGTTGTTGTCTGGTGATGACGTTTCTTTGTCTCCAACAGTTTCTCATGTTGTTTGAACTGTTTGTGTTTGTGTGTCCAGAGTTTCCAGCAGAGCCAGAGGTCGTCTACTCTTCACTGAGGCCCCATCCACACTACTGCATTTTTTAATTAAAACAGAGACCTTTTGCTACGTTTGCGCCTCCCCGTCCAGGCTACAACGGTGAAAACAAAGACCTAAAACAGAGAAGTTTGGGCGTTTTAGTGAAGATGGGCCAAAACTGAGGACTTTAGAAACAACGACGCAGCCTCTCACGTTCGGCACTCCGATCGGGACTTATAAGTCACGCAAAGCAGAAACACAATGCTACTGACAGAGTTTTTGACTTGGTATTCTTTTTATTATATTGTATACCATGCAAATAACACTTTTTCACCTACACTTGTACTGTGCATGTTGCGGTTTAGCTTGTGACGACTCCCAGTCTTTTTTCCGCTGCCACACTCCCGTGTTACAGTCAGTAATAGTCCCAGCTCGTTATTGGTGCATGCAAAAAAACCCTTCTTCAACTGTATTTATTCTTTCGCTAAATCTTCTTCTATCTAGGAAGAGACCATCTGCTTCATGTTTACACTGGCATGCACATGCTTAGTGTACCTGAATGGCCAATAGATGTGTGTTTTCAGTTGTTTTAATGTAGACTGAGATCATCTCGAAAACACAGCTAAAACGTTGGTGTGGACAGAGATCGTATTTGTAATAATTCTCTGTTTGTAAACTAAAACGGAGTAGTGTGGATGGGGCCTGAGGTAGACCTTCACACCTTCACACCAGTCCAACCACTGATGTCCAGCTGGCCTGGAACTGGTCCCCAGAGCCCCTCACACCTCAGCACATCCATTTATTAGATTTCACTGTCAAAGCTAAATTAGACTCATGCAGCTACAAAGAGACAAATCCTTATACATAAACGACAAAATAGGTTGAATCTTAAATTTCCCAAAATGACATACTGTAAATGTCTGTTGGACAGAACAATAACATGTATGACCGTTCCCCAAAATGACGTACGACGCCCAGCGACAGGCATACTGGACTTTCAGTACGCTACATAAGTCACATGACGTTAACATGTGGTAAATGTTTTGCAACATTTTTAGATGTTTTTCTGTGTAAAATCAGTGACATGAAAAACTATAACTAAAGATTAGATAAATTGTTAAAATATATATAGAAATTTTACTGTTATTTATATTTAATGATTTTATCAATTTTTTACTCTTGTTGCCCCGGCAACTTGTTTCTCTGCAGGTTCAATAAACTTCTTCTCGTTCTTGTTTTCCTCCTGTGGTTCTTTGGGTTTCACAAAGCTGTCGGATGGAAAATTTGAAGTTCTCTGGTTTGGCTGCGGCTAACAGATACTCACCTCTCTTCAGTTCAGAAAGCTAAGAATAAACAAAACCACAACCACAGACCTGAACAGCATCGACCTCGATCAGCTTCAGTACAGAGTGTCTGTTTCTGTTAATAGAGTTTTGATTCTCAGTCTGTTAACTATGGAGGAGATTCAGTCTTCTTCTCTCAGAGATATCACACATCAAATAAATCAGCAGGTCCTGGTTTTCATGAGATTCTCAGAAACACAGCGACATAATGAAGAGAAGCAGTCAGGTTCTCATATGAACACTCAAACAGGGTTTTCTGGCTGTAATAATAATATTAATAACAATAAACCTTATTTTATTAATTTGTCGCAGAAGTCAGAAATAATTATTTCCTGCACAAACTGTTGGGGCTTTAATGTGATTCATAAAACTGCAGCTATTTCAGTGTGCAGGCCTTAAAGCTATTAAACCAAAAAACATCAATAAAACAAAAGTAAAAATGTCAAAGCAACAAATAAAAACAGGCCAACAAACTCTTCTGAAAGCTGATTTTCTTTTTACTTTATTGAGAAACCTTTGAAAACCTCCAGCTGAACAAACAACAGAAGAAGAAAGTTTAGCTTTGAAATGATCCTCGGTGGTGACATCAGCAATGACATCATCATACGGTTGGTCCAATCCCTCGCCATCTTCTCTGAGTGGAGACGTTGTTGTGGCAACAGGCAAGTTTCTTCCAGCAGAGATCAGTAATCATTTTATTAATCAACTGATAACCTGAAGAAAAGTTTTTGGCTTTTAAATGATTTTAAATGAAGCACGTTGTGATCGGGACATCGATTGATTCAGTGACTGATTGATCAATGGAGTAAGTTTTTTAACAGTGCGGCTCTGCGGATGCAAAGTCACCACTTAGTTCAGTCAGGATAAACTGTAATAACTTTTCCTCTAGCGCCATCATCAGGTCATTTTATGATCAAATACCTGCAGAACTACTGACATTTCCTGTTGAGGAAGAAACTCTGTGCCTGATTCCAGATAAAGAATCACAGATACCGTCCAAATGGTTTATTTCATCTTGTATCAGTGTAGCTAAAGAGTGTGTGGGGCTTGTCTTGGTGTGTGTTTGTCAGAGTGTGTGTGAAAAGAACACACATGAGCTAAATTAAGCAAAAACATCATTCATTTCATTTCCAAGCAGAACATTGTTTGTTTGTGTTCAGAGTTTCCAGCAGAGCCAGAGGTCGTCTGCTCCTCACTGAGGTCGAGCTTCACACCTTCAAACCAGTCAAACCACTGATGTCCAGCTGCTGGTTTCCTGCTCACTAACTGGTCCTCAGACCTCTGCATGTACATGATTTATTTAACAATATGTTGTCATGGCTTTAAAAGAAAAGTCCTAAAATAAAATAACTAAAATAACTCTTAACACATGCTCTACAGCAGCTCCAACATTTAAAACAAGCAAATATTTGTTTAAAATGTGCAACACACTAACTAACATGTGAGTGCAGCAGCTGAGCCAATCACTGACTGATGATATGAAGATTTAGCCAATCAGGTGATGAGACGCACTTTGTAAAGCACTCTGGGTGAAAGCTCCATATAAACATGCAGCACAGGAGCTTCTCTTTGTTCACAGGAGGGAAAAGGTAGAAACATGAAGAAAAATCCTCTGTCTGTCTGCACGCAAACAAGAGGGAAGAAACTTTTAATATAAATCTTTAAATCTTTTAATTTGAAGGAGATCAGAAATGAGGAGTAAATAAGTATTGAGAAGCTAAAAACAACAAAGTAACACAGTAAAGACACGTCGGCAGAAAGCATCTGAGGAGAGGCAGAGAGAGACGAGGAAAGAGGAAGGTAGATTTAACAAGCTAATGTTAATTTGGGCATTAACTTCAAACATCTACAACATCAGGGAAAAACCTTTTCTGTTTCAGGTTGTTCTACTAATGTTACTCAGTTCCTGTAACTGCACACTGTGTTGGAAAACAGCCTGTGTGACCCGAAGCTGCAGAAATACTTTCACTTTCCATTAGTGACGTGTCAAAGTGTGTTTAGTCTCTGCAGAATAAATGTAGGCTACACACTGTATTTGAAGAGGGAATCAGACTGAGAGCTGGATCTCTTTTTAGGCTGCGCCCTGTGTAAACATGTTAACATGTACAAACAAGTGAATATATGAACCAAAATGTACAATTCTAGTGGAACAATAACAAACCACATCATATTTATTCTTTAAATAAAGTTTTGCTCGAGTTTGGTCTGCAGTTTATACCATAAATATGGAGCGAAGGAAGTAAAAGCAGTCCTGCTCAGCTCTGTGGAGACCACTGGAGTCTCTTTAAGTCTGGAGAAATGAAAGTAGATATTTGTGGAGGTAGTTCTGAAAGAAGAGCTTTATAGATAAAGAAGAGAGCATGTTGCTCACGCCTCACAGAGAGAGAGGCCCAAGTGTGGTATTCCTGCAATAGGCCAGTCGTCACTGATGACATCAGCAAAGACCCCACTGGCTGCGCATTTACAGGGAGTATTTGTTAAAACAACGTCTAGCAGAGTAGATTTTTACAGGTTTTTAAGGTGTGGGCGGGTCGGTTTGGTTAGGAGCTGAGTCAGATTAAGCTCAGTACAAATGTCTTAAAATGTGTCTGCTACAGGTAAAAAACCATCAGGTCAACCATAATCAGCCATTCAGAGTTGCACAAACACGTGATGCATCAATCAGAATATATATATATATATATATATATATATATATTTAAACTAGACATTCATAAGGATACAGAAACATTTAAGCAGCACTTTACATAAAGTGCAACACCACCTCTCCCCACACTATAAATATTGTAGCATAAGATCATAAGATTACTTCCAACAAGACCTCTTTGTGTGGCAGTAAGAACAAGTTTATTTAAATGTAATGCAGGTATTGCGTAGAAGCAGTTATCTGAGTGTGTTTCTTTATTGCAAATGGGGAACTAGTTCAGGATAAAGGGGAAGTGGTATTGAACATGGGGCCTCATTCCCATTTATATTATTGCAACTCCCTTTTTACGTGGAGGAGACATAGAGAGGTCTTTCTAGTTTTGAAAATGTAGTTTAATGGCTCATTTCATGAGGTGCAGTATTTGTATAAAAGTCTGAAGAAAATGTCTCTAAAGACAAAGAAGAAAAGCTCCAGACTATGACTGCACATTAACAGGAACAGGATGGGGCTATACTGTGACACATCCACCAATGTGTCCCTGAGCAGGACACTTAACCTCTAGTTGCTCCAGAGGCGTGTGACCTCTGACATGTTGTATGTTTTTTAAATGTTTTTTTCTTTTCTTCATTCTATTTATAATTTTCATAAAATAAGTGATAAAATGAGCTCAGAGCTGCTAAATAGCAAACTCTGCCCTCTAAAAGTCCCTCCATGTTATTATCTGATTACAAACAGGTCCAGACATTTAGAGCCTTCAGAGTTCACTTTCAGTTCTCAGCTACAAAGTTACAGTTAAAGAAAGTTGATGATCCAGTTTTTATCAGGTTTATTGACTTTTGGTTACCTGATTTAAAGTCTGTTAGAATGTAAATAAAGAGTCAGACTGGACTGTCAGCTTCCTGGTTTTAAAACACATAATACAGAACATAATGCTTGCTGATATGCCTGTTGTGTCCAAACCTAAATAATTATTAACAAACATTTATAATTATTACATACATTTAAAAGAAAAGCAGCAAATCTTCACATGTGACAGCCAGCAGATGTTTTTACATGAAAATCGATTATCAAAATAGTTGGACATTAGTTTTTCTGTAAATCGACTCATTATTTCATTATTCTTAAATTAAAAAGTGAGCTGAGTTTTGGGAGTCTGAGCCTGCAGCTGACCGTTAAAGAAGGAATATGTGGCTGTGTGAACTCTGCTGTCTGTCAGAGTCTCTTTCTAACAGATCAGAAAACATCAACAGCTGAAGTCAATGTGATAAAAAACATGTGGATTACCAGACCTTTGTGCTGTTTTACTCTGCCAAATACTCAAAGTTAATGAAAATATAACACGAAGATGTTACAACAAAGTGTCCAGAAAACACACACACACAGCTCACCTTCACAGGAAACAGATGACAGATGACTTTATCTCGGGCCTTTCACCACAATCCACACAGCAGCATGAGTCCACTTCAGTCCAGATTATCTGTATCGTTGTCTAAGAACATTTCACAGTCAGAGTTCCTGAGCAGCTCTCAGAGAAGACGATGAAAAATGTCCTCATGCAGGAAAACAGAGCTGCAGTGAATCCAAACAGGATCTTTTCCCCTCTGATGCAGGTCGGTGAGTAAACAACAGGGACTGAGCTCTTCAGGGTCGGACTGGGAACAAAGTCCAGCTCCGTCATCCAGAACAGACTGTTAGTGTTATAACTGCAGCTAGCAGGATGTTGAGCAGCACTGACATCAGTAACTGTTGATTTAAAATATTTGGAGCTTTTTCTCTCTGAACTTTTCACTTTTTTGGTCTTTTACCCGTTTAATTTGATTTGACCTCTGACTCTACCTGGATGGATGGATCCACTTGAAGGGGTGGGGGGAGGTGCCGACGGTCTGTACCACTTCCTGTAATTAACAATCAGCTGGCTGTTCCAGCATCAGGTCATATTGTTTGTCCCACAGAGCTGCTGGTCAGTCAGCCCATCTGGCATTAACCTGCCTCCAGGTGAAATCAGACGTGTGTCAACAGCTCAGGTTTATTTTACAGGAGGAATGTGTTTCTTCTGTCCAGCAGCACGTTCAGTCCACCAATCAGCAGCCAGAGAGTAACGACCAATCACTGCTCCCCACAGTAACCAGAGTGAGTTCAGTCTGGATCCTCACTAATTCTCATCTGCTGCCTCTGGTCTCTTAATCTCTCTGCAGGTTCTGCAGTTCATGTCTGTTTATAGCAGGTTGTTGATTCCCTGTGGGTCTGTTATATTTTTTAAAGATCACAAAACCAACAACACCAAGAAGAAGAAGAAGAATCACACAAACTGGCAGACCGACACTCAGTCCAACATTTCCCTCCTTGTTTCCTCCCTCCTTGTCTCCTCCCTCCTTGTGTCCAGCTGTGTGACCTGCAGAGCAGAAACAGGTGTGAGGTATCAGCTGTCAGCAGGTGAACAGAATGTCAGACATTATCTACTGAACTTTGATCAAATGACTCGTCGCAGCTGTTTCCTCTAAAGTCTCATCAGCAACATCTTTCTAAAACACAAACATCTGATCTGTGATGTTTCTCAGCTCAACTACCAGGAAGCAGCTTCACCTGAGAGACAAAGAGACACTCTGAGCTCTACACGCTGACCTGAGAGACAAAGAGACACTCTGAGCTCTACACACTCACCTGAATCTGTCACTTTCAGCATGACGGTGCTGATCAGTTTAACTTTGCCTGTCTCGTTTTCCTCTCTAACCCGACACTCATATGTTCCAGTGTCGTTGATGTTGACGTTCTTCAGAATCACAGAAGCGTCTCCGTCCTTCATCTCTGGATCTCTCAGCTCCACTCGACCACGAAAAGATTCATGCTGGTTGTTTTCATATGAGCGGCCTTCTTTGAAGAAGAAGACATAATCATCTGACTTCAGGTCAGGTCTGATCCACTTTATCAGGTCTATGTCAGCACCTCTGTGACTCTGACACTGAAGAGTGGCGTTCTCTCCAGCCTTCACCTTCAGCTCCTGTGTCCCTGAACAGAACGAGAAAAGCCTCCAGTCAGGACTTGTAATGTTTCCTGTTGTTCAAACATCTTTTGATGGAAGCAGCAGAGATCAGGTCTCTATAAAACAGCACATGTGAACTCAGCAGCATTTCAAACCCTGTTCTCAGACAACTTGAGTCCCAGCTGCAGAAAGGAGAGACTAACTCCTCTGCTGCAGCTGCACGCTGACTTCATGTTGCTCATTTCTACAGCTGTCAGTCAAGTCGTCCTCCGCACCATCAGACAGGAGACATTTTACTTTCATCTGCTTTCTGCTTGTTTGGAGATTATTGATTATTGATATTATTTCCCATCTGAATACAGACATCAGCATTTCTGACATCTGAATATTAGCGTGTGTTTGTGTTTGTCTTGCATCGTCACAGTGGTGTCAGATATGTGGCTCTCCTGGAGGCCTCAAGGGAGGGCCCACAGAGAAGCCTCCAGGTCTTACACTACCATTAAATAATAAAAGAAATAATCAATACTGTGTGCGTCAGACATACTGACATTCAAATAAAACATACAAAGTAGTGCTGGGCAACGATTACGAGTGGTGCTTTCACATGACAAACAGTTTGTTGTTGTCAACAATAATTAAAACAAGATTCCTTACTGACCAACTTGGTAAAGAAGAGGAGTTTACTTATTCAAGTTATACTTTACCTAAAGTGGCCCACGTCTGTTTTTATCATATTATTTATCATCTGCAGCAACTGGGGGTTAAGTATGTTGCTTAGGGACTGTGGTGTCCGAACAATAATGCTGCGATGATGTGTTGAGAAGAAACCCGCTTGACACTGTTCTTGATCATAAAAGTTTATTACATCAAGGAGTTCAGCATCAATTACAAGCTCTGCAGTAGCTTGGAGAGTGACCCAGCACGATGACCACTCTGTCTTTCTGTACATCAAACACAGCTTATATAGGACATCAAAACAAGGGGTTAGAGGTCAAATTCTATAGAAGGGTTCGGTCCCTACATAACCACCAATCACTGCTCTTCTGTCCTGCTGCTACAGTGCTATTTTAAACTGTTATGCGTGAAATGCACATATATTATACACCACAGGACACAATGGTGGATGTGTCACAGAGGGAAACTACAAAACTGTGTCTTCAGACACACATGATGTCCTCATGTTTCTGCAAGCCAACAGTAAGGAGGAAGAACTGAACCCACATCCTGACTCAGACTGACGTGTGGGGGATGGTGAAGTTAAAATGAGCTCAGAGCTGCTTCATGCCAAACTCTGCCCTCTAAATGTCCCAACATTTTGTTTTCTAATCACAGGGACATGCCCAGACAGACATTCAGAGCCATCAGCTTTCGCTTTTGTTTCTCAGCTCCAGAGTTACGCTTAAAGAAAGTTGATGATCTTGTTTTTATCCGGTTTATTGACTCTTGGTTATCTCTGCTCTAAAGACAGGAAGCTGTTCAAAAGTCAACAAATAACTGATATAAAGTCTGTCTGTTATAATATAAAGAGTCAGACTGGACTGTCAGCTTCCTGGTTTTAAATGAGGACACAATGCTCGCTGTCCAACCTGAAAGCTGGACGGCTGCCTGGAAGCTCAGGTGAGTTTCGGCTGAGCTGCTTTTAATTCCAGCTCAGATCAGAGCAGCATTAACAGGATCAACAGCTCTGATCGTTCCTTCATTGTAAACATGTGAAATGAAAACATGTAGCTGACAGATTGCTCACAAGATACTCTGCAGATTAAGATATATTTAAATGATACTTTTATCCAAAGCGACTTACAATTGCTATACATGTCCGAGGTCGCACGCCTCTGGAGCAACTAGGGGTTAAGTGTCTTGCTCAGGGACACAATGGTGGATTGAACCCAGGTCTCTCACACCAAAGGCAGACATCTTATCCATTGCGCCATCACCACCCCAAGACTGAACATGCAACACACTGATACAGATTTACCTGCCAACATCATGTAAAATTAGCTAGTAATTGTGTACTTTGACTCAAGTAACATTTTGATAGCAGGACTTTAGTTTTATATTGTGTTTAAAGTCAAAGATACAGAAATATCTGCCAACAGTGGACGCTGTCAGAAACAGACACATCACAGATCATTAGTTTCCTTTTGTTAAAGACTGAGAAAAGCAGTTGTGGATCAAGTATACAGAAACTACAGTAAAAGTACTACATTGTAAAAATATTCTTCTACAAATAGAAGTCCTGCATTGAAAAAATTACTGAAGTAAAAGTATGTGAGTACAATCAGGAAAATGTACTTTAATGTCCCTGTGACTGTTGTACTATTAAATATTCTACCATCAGATTATTTTTCCTCACACATTAATATAAAGCAGCATTTTACTGCTGTAGTTGTTGAGCTGGAGCTCATTTTAAACTATCAGACTGCAGCTGATGATTATTTTCATTCTGGATCAATCTGCTGATTATTTTCTCCATTAATTGATTGATTGTTTGTAAAGATTCTGTAAATTGTGAGAAATGCTGTCACAGTTACTCAGAGCTCAAAGTGACACCTTCATAATGCTTGTTGTGTCCAAACCTCAACTTTATTAACAAACAAATGAAAAGCAGCAAATCTTCACATGTGACAACCAGCAGATTTTTTTACATGAAAATTCATTATCAAATAACAAAAGTAATTATTATAATAAGATATCACGAGTAAATGCTGTACATATTGAATTGAAACTTCAGTTCTTCAATCAGTAAATGAAGGTGATACAGGAAGTTTCACACATTTCTCTCCTAATGATCATTCAACAGAAGGTGAATCTATAAATCATCATAATAAAAAGGTAATTAGTTAATGAAGTTTAAAAAAAACTTCAGTACTCTAAATCTTTCTTTCTTTCTCATTATGAGGTCTATTGTCACATCTGTTTTTATTTCTGAGATTTGTTAGTTTATTCATGGGATTGGAGAGATAGCTCAGGGCTCAGGAGAAGATGCTGGGGGACACCTGGGAGGCATGGGTCCAATGTCTTGTTTAAAATAATAGGATATATAAATGTTTAGGAATAAATAAATGATTATGAAGAAATAGTTCCCTTTTTAAAATATATGTATTAAAAGAGTGTGTCTGTAATAAATCGGTTTACTGAGGGTGTTGGATTTTGGATGGTTTGTTGATTTTGCAGGGCTCTTATATGAAGACGTCAACTGCTTGATTTGGTTCCTGGACCTGAGGATTTAGCTTCAGGGGTTTCTTTTTGAAGTTGATTTTCTGTCTCTTGAAGCACTAAATGGTTTAGGGCCAAAATACATTTCCAATCTTCTGCTTCGTTACGAACCATCCAGACCTCTCAGGTCGTCTGGGGCAGGTCTGCTTTCTGTCCCCAGAGTCAAAACTAAACAAGGAGAAGCAGCGTTCAGTTTTTATGCTCCGTATATCTGGAACAAACTCCCAGATAACTGCAGGTCTGCTGAAACTTTTAAATTAAGACTGAAGACTTTTCTTTTACCACAGCTTTTAATTAAATATTTATGATTTTTCTTTTATTGATAACTTACACTGCACTCTAACTTTTACTGTCCTGTTTCTTTGTCTTTGTTTTTAGCTTTTTATTATTTTCCATTTAACTCTTTTAACCCTGATTGTAACACTGTAACTTTTATATATTTTATGTTGCTTTTAAACTTTGACATATTTCCCTGTTGCTTTTATGTTTTATGTAAAGCACTTTGAATTACCTTGTTGTTAGATTGTGCAATACAAATAAACTTGCCTTACGTCTCCGCGGTTCTGTGTCGACAGATATGTGAGTTCCCTCTTTGCATCAGGTTATATGAATCCACATTAGTGGTGCATTTCATTTGAACCTTTTTACCTGAAACATGCTGTCTGAAATTACCACACCAGGTTTAGTAATTTGAGCAGGACAATAATATGTTAATTAAAAGGTTTTATAAAATTTCAAAACAACATTTTAATATTTTGTCACACAATTACAACATACATGTTTATATTTATAGCCACAGTAAGTTAGTTTGTCAAAATTTAAACCCTTACATTAAAATCAAGCTGAAGCATTTCCTATGACATTTCTTTTAACGCTCTCTTTGTGGGATCAACTTCCTGATAACACGTGAATTATGTTCTGTAAATTTACTTAACTGATAACTTTGACTTTTTGTTTTATGCTGTTTTCTTATGCTCTCACTGAATTCAACCTATAATTAAATAAATTTAGTTTTTAACCAAATTTAATCAAATCTGCTATCAACCTATCAAAATGTCAAACTGGAAATTATGTAATGAGATTGTAAATGTACATATTTTAATTTGTAATAATACATTATTCAGTGAATTTATTTTTGGAGTTGAAAAGTTAAAACTCAGCAGTTTCCAGTTTGCTGCTGTCTGTCTGTGCTGCCTTCACCCGTAACTCTGTCCTGTCTGCGATCATCTTCTGATATCTAGGTTTTATGCTGTTGTGTATATATAGAGGAAAACAAAAGTTTATTCTTTATACTTATGCTCATGGCATACACACACACACACACACACACACACACACACACTCTCTTACCTTGACACAGAACAAAGATCCATGAACATGCGAACAAAACCACAAGTGGAGCTGATGTTAAAGCAGCCATTACAGACTGAGGTGCAGCAGCTGGTTAAACTGAAACTAAACTGCTCTTAAGCTTTTCTTCACAACACATATAGAAATCAAGAGTGGTAATCTCTCAACAGTGAAATGTCAGGTTGAGTCAGACATTTGTTTATTGAGAGAGGGCCACAGAAGTTGGACACAATAACATGAACACTGCTATAAAGTGTTGCTTATACATATATAAATAAAACATTCTGGTAAAAGGACATTAAAATAAGAAATCATCTGGCAACCAAACCCAGGGACTGAAAGAATGCTCAAATATTTAAGATAAGATAGACTTCATCCCACACTGGGGAAATGTACTTTTTACAGCAGCTGTAGATAAACACAATAGACAAAATGTAAATACAAACGATACAAATCTTAAAATAAATTGTATGTTGAGGTCTATTGTCACATTTGTTTTTTCTGGCCTCCAGATTTTATACTGTTGTATGTATGTGAGTCATACACGCACATGAGCGTGTGCACATACACACACACACACACACACACACACACACACACACACACACACACGATTCTCTTACCTTGACGCCTTCACAGCAGAGTTGCAGCAGCAAATCAGAAACCAGATCTTCTTCCTGCTTTGTAGCTGTTGTCCTGCCCAATTGAGGGAGCAGGGATTGTCAGGTGATTTCCAAGAAAGCTGAACTAGTGCATTACATGCAAATAAAGATTGACAACAAAAATATATAAACTACAATATTACTGATGAGTAATGATATAAAAGGGCTACGGAAGGTGGACACAGTAACATGAGAACTGGTTTAATGTGATGCAAATATCTAACAGAAAATAAGATTTATCCACTGTGGGTTGTGACAGCTAAGCACACTTCACTGTGCTCTACAGAACAACAACAGTAATGTTGAAAACAGTGCTTGAAGTAAAAAATAATAGGTGCTGGTACTTCCCATTCACATATAGCCGTGTGTCGGCTGGTACCCCCCACCTCGATACTATCCAACCTGGAGGAGTAACTAGTGTTAATGAGTGTGTAAGGAAATGTTATAACATTCTAATGTATAATGTTAGTATATTTATATATTAAAGGTTACAGGTCATTTAGAGTATTTAGTTTATTGGTTAAGATTCAACAATTCAACAACTGTTTCACAAATAAAAACGTTTTCTGATGTCAAACCTCTGTGGTTATAGTTTGATTAGGGACACTGGACCTTTAAGTAAAAGTAAAATGACTAATATTTAAATATACTCAAAAGCAGCTTCACATGATGCAGACTTTGTTACAGTGATAACAGTAAATTTAACTTGTTACTTCCACCCCTGCCTAACTTGTTACTGTACTGTTAGTAGTTGTGATAAATGAGTAGGCCCACCACTCTCTCACAGTGCAGACAGTTAACAGGATACAGCCCTTCGGGAAGATTAAATTATTTTGAAGGACTTCATAGACTTACTTTACTGCACCACATTTATAGATTTCACTTTCATGATGAGATAAAGAAAAACACATCAGGCATCACCTTCAAACTTAACATCAAATGTTAAAAGAGCCTTTCACGGCAATAAGTACTTTTATTTGAGTCTTACTGACATGTTTCCCTGATGAAATATATCTGAGCACTGCTTTTGTAAAAAGAACATGTGTGAAGCTTCTCATGTTCAGATATTAAGAATATGTAATTTACTCGGTATCTTTACAGGCTTGGACAAAACAGAAAATCCTACCCTGTAACTGAAAACACAATAAATAACACAAATCAGAGAATTTTAAATCATGTTACTTAATGTTACCATGTGTTATTTCCAGGAAGTTAGGTTGATTCTCTGAATGTGTGAATTAGTTTAAAGCACCAGATGTCAGCAGAGTTACTCTGCAGCCAACAGGTCGACAGAGTGACTCATCATGTCCCCATTCTTTTACTCCAGTACTGTCTTACATCCTTTATGCAGTCTATGGTTACATCTAGCATGTAGGATATTTACTCTGACATGTGTTTAGCTGGTTTATTAAATACTTTCATATATGTGAACAGAGTTTGTTTTGTTGTTTTTAAAATGAATGTTTTGGTTTTTTAAATTGACGACCAGGCGGCCTAGTTGGCCGACAGTGAGATGACAATCAATTTAGCCTCTCAAATCAACACTTGACTTGACAAACATGTATAGATATTAAACACTTGAAGCATATCACAAATTGTTAGCTATAAGTATTGGAACTATCAGAGTAAAAAGGCATTTTTGACCACCCGAGTCATGCTGCTGCTCCTCGCAACGGTGTGCAGAAAAGTAAATGGGCTATACAATCTAAACAAATAATAATTGTAAAAACATGCAGGTTGTCTTACCTTACACCCAGGGGTGGAAATTAAAGTTTTGGCTCACCTGCCAAGAGGACCGGTAGATGACATGAGCCGTGTATGTTGGTAGTAACAGAAACGGAAACACTTTTTCTACAGTGCTGGTTCCACAAAGCTGGATCGCTATGTCAAAACATCTGTTCTGTCTCCTACTTTAATTTTGCCCCGTTTCAGAGACAGTGTCAAAATTGCAGTAACTACAAAACCCAAGCTAATACCAAGGCAAACCGCAGTAAGTGATATTACTGCGCTTAGACTGGCTTTGTTTGTTTTCCCGGCTTTGACACCGCAGATACGGCGGTCTGCCTTGGCAGCCTAATCCCGACTGTAATACTGTTTGCATCGATCGTAACGCTCCCTCACACACAACCAACAAGCCAAACAGCTAATGTAAGCTTACCATAGAGAAACACCATAGCACAATCCCGCAGTAAAATTATTGTTGAACTTGCATTAAAACACAAATATCCAAAGGGTAGTAAGGAGGATAGCAAAATGTAAACATCTAACATTAACAAGGCAAATGACAGCTTTATAATCAGTTAACAGTAGCTAACTAAGTTGGCAAGTTGGCCACTTGCAAATCAGACAAACATTTTATCCTACCTGCTGCCTTGAAGGCATTTACTCTGACAGCGCAATCATAATATGATTTATAATCGCGTTGATGTTTTTTGTTTCGGACATCCATCCATCCATCCATCCATCTTCATCCACTTATCCGGGGTCGGGTCGCAGGGGCAGCAGCTCCAGCAGGGGACCCCAAACTTCTCTTTCCCGAACTAAATTAACCAGCTCTGACTGGAGGATCCCGAGGCGTTCCCAGGCCAGTGTGGAGATATAATCTCTCCACCTAGTCCTGGGTCTTCCCCAAGGCCTCCTTCCAGCTGGACGTGCTTGGAACACCTCCCAAGGGAGGCATCCAGGAGGCATCCTTACCAGATGCCCAAACCACCTCAACTGGCTCCTTTCAACACAAAGGAGCAGTGACTCTACTCTGAGCTCCTCGTGGATGGCCGAGCTTCCCTATCCCTATGCACCCTATCTCTAAGGGAGACACCAGTCACCTGCCTGAGGAAACCCATTTCAACATTAAACTTGCAAACATGAATAAAACTTTTACAGCTATTAAAAACAACATGTAGTAAGAAACAAAACAAGAAAGTTGAATGAACACATTTAGTTTGTAGATACTGCACTTTGCCTTAGCAATACGTTTCTAGTTGGTTAAGGACATCCAAAAGTAGAGTGCAGTATCTGCTTTTTGAGTCATGTGTCAAAGGGAATATCAGTGGTCCTGGTTTTTATCTATAAAAAATCTCTTCCTAAGAAGGTATTATGCATTATCACTGATCTAACCACAACATGTTTGGCTAGTTTCAAAACTTTAAAGGCATTTTTCTGTATGTTTCTGTTTTTGTGTAGTTACAGCACTTAGCCTTTGTAGGGCAGTACAGCGGGAACCAATTTAGGTGTGACACACAACAAACAAGAACGCCAGTCTGCTGTTAGTTTCCATCAAATAGCTTTTATGTGGCAAATCAACCTGATATCATGAGGTGGCTTTAACGCTGTTTAGTCTCTATATACCTATGCAACACAAAGCAGTTTAATCCTATCTACTAGCACATCGGCATCACAGCAAACCCTGTTGTGAGGTAGATGTGAAGAAATTCCCATTACATTACTCCCTTTTAGCATATTATGCTAACACAACATAACGAGAATATAAACATTTCGTGTAACTTCAGCAGTACTTGAAGAAAAGGTGATTATGTAAAAATATAAGAATATGAGAATATAAGGAATAAAAATATAATGTAAGGAATATAAAAATGTGAGATTGTAATTATGCAAAATGTGAAATTTCATTACATTTGCAAAGACTAATGATTCAGAAGATAACTAAGAAACTTAGAAATGATTCAGATTAAACTTCACTTTCATCCTCTTTGAAAGGTGGGATCCACTCCATTGAATCAGTTAGTTCAGGTGGTAGTTGCATGTACTGACCCATTGATGACTTGATTGCTATAGCAATCATAGATCTAGCACAAGGTATCACACAGCATGTCAGAAGGAGGAAAACACCAAAAATGATGAACAGTGGGGTCAACATTTTTAACAGCACATTCTTCCATCAGCCTGTTGTCAGCCACGACCACATGTCCCATCCCCCAGTGTTCTGTGAGTCCTGACTTTTCTCCTCGTGCAGTAGATCATTCAGGTGGGAGACAACATGAGTTATGTTGTCCGAGACATCTGGGATGTATGTACAACAGTCCGTTCCAATTATGTGGCAAACTCCGCCTTGAGTCGCCAGCATCAGGTCCAGTGCCATTCTGTTTTGCAACGCCACATTTCTGAGGTCCTGCACAGTGAGTGTGAGGGTGGAAAAAAACACTTCTACAAGGGCTGTCAGGTTTTCCAGTTCAATAGCCAGTCCATCTATCTTATGTGCATTGTTCACAGTCCCCCACCAGGGGAGGAAGCCCCCAATGCCTTTCTCCGCCGGCGGAACTCTGGTGTTCGAGCGTCTGGCTCTATGAGGCACATAGTAGTGGGCGTAGTGAGTGTGGAAATAGCTCAGAGTGGGCAGGATGGTGACAGAGGTCATCAGATGGGCTAGATAACACATCCCACACCATCCAGCTCTCAGGATTTGATACACATGTTGCCCACATACCCACACGTGTTGTCTCAGC